AGTTTGGATTGAGGGGGAATACTGAGGAGACTGTATGCAGGGCACTACCAGGTCTTGACATTCAGTGAAAAGGAAAATTCAGGGCAGACCAGTTTGGTTTAGTGGTTTAAGTGTTTTAAAGTGTTTAAAGTGTTTAAGTGTTTAAAGTGTTTTAAGTGTTGGATTAGGACTCTAGAGACCAGGGTTCAAATCCCAGCTTGGCCATGTAAACCCACTGGGTGACCCTGGGCAAGCCTCACTCTCTCAGCCTTAGGATGGCCACGGCAAACCGCCTCTGGAGAAACTTGCCAAGAAAACCCCATGATAAGGTCTGCCATAGGGTCATTGTAAGTCAGAAAAATGACTTGAAGGCACACAACAACAAACAGGGCGGACAAAAGAAAGGGGTGTGTATGTGTCTGTGTGAATGTATATGTGTATGTGTCTTTACAGAGCACGTGGTTAAAGGGGGGAGTTAGCTGTGGCAAGATTTGGTGACAGTCTCCAATTTGGATGGCTTAGGCTTAGATGCATGGAAAGTGGGGTTACAAGTATCACGTGTGCCACTTGAAGGCACACAAGAACAACAACAACGCCTCTTAGGAGAGCCAGCATGGTGTAGTGGTTTGAGTATTGGACTACAACTCTGGAGATCAGAGTTTGAAACCCAACAGGTGATCTTGGGCAAGTCACACACTCTCAGCCCCAGAAAACCCTCTCAGAAACAACTTGGAAGACACGCAGCAACAACAACGCAATGCCTCTTAGAGGGTAGACAGTGTGGTGTGGTTTAAGTGTTGAACTGGGACTATGGGAAAACAGGGTTCAGATTCTTGCCCAGCAACAGAGACCCTTTGGGTGGCTTTGGGCAAATTTAATAGAGGAAGGCGATGGCAGCTCCCACAAATAAATCTTGCTAAGAATGCCCCATGGAAGGGTTGGCATAAGTTGGAGTTTGTTTGGAAGCCTATTACAGCAACAATAGATGTCTCTTAGTAGAAGTTGCTGAGGGACACAACTGATTCAGCTAGACCACTTTTTGTCTTCTCAAGATGCCAGATGCAGAATCTCAAGCGTGGTGGGAGTGTGCTTTAGGACTGGCAACTTTCATTTTTTAAAATGGGTCTTCTGCTAATACTTTTTTGCGGGCCTGGCTGGCTTCTAGGAATTGCACATATATTGTTTAGTGCATAGAACAAAAAAGCTTTGCACTTCCTGATAAATTCAGACCTGCTCTGCTGTGAGACGGCTGTGTAAATATGACCAAAATGGTAGAATTGTCTTGCAGAGGACTCTACAGAGTATTGTACTCTCTCATTTTGAACAGCAAAATGGGGCTGTTCATGAGCCCACAAAATTTCTGGAAGGTGAGTCAAGTTTGAACTGCAAAGTGCTTTGTAGAATTTGTGTTGAACTGGTAGGTTCACCATAGCAGAAGAGTTTTTTCCGTTTATTTTTAAAGTGCATAAATCATAGAATCATAGAATCATAGAGTTGGAAGAGACCACAAGGGCCATCCAGTCCAACCCCCTGCCATGCAGGAACTCCCAATCAAAGCATCCCTGACAGATGGCCATCCAGCCTCTGCTTAAAGACCTCCAAGGAAAGACACTCCACTACTCTCTGAGGGAGTGTCTCCACTGTCGAACCGCCCTTACTGTCAGGAGGTTCCTCCTAATGTTGAGGTGGAATCTCTTTTCTTGCAGCTTGCATCCATTGTTTCGGGTCCTAGTCTCTGGAGCAGCAGAAAACAAGCTTGTTCCCTCCTCGATATGACATCCCTTCAAATATTTAAACACAGCTATCATATCACCTCTCAGCCTTCTCTTCTCCAGACTAAACATCCCCAGCTCTCTAAGTCATTCCTCATTGGGCTTGGTTTCCAGACCCTTCACCATTTTAGTTGCCCTCCTTTGGACAAATCATATAAAAGAACAACAGAAAAAAAAAAAAGCAAAAAATGCTTATATTACAGGCTGGTTTCCCCAGATAAAAGGGTTGTAGTGAATTCTATTTCCAAAGTAATGTAATTAAAATTTAAGACAAGTAGTGCTTCATAATAGAACATTAATTCCAATGAAGATAGCCAGTGTGGTGTAGTGGTCTGAGCACTGGACTACAACTCTGGAGACCAGGATTCAATTCCCCACTCAAGCATAAAAGCCCATTGGGTGACTTTGGGCAAGTCACATACTGTCATCCTCAGGGGAAGGCAATGGCAGACTTCCTCTGATAAAATCTTGCTAAGAAAACCCCATGATAGGGTTGCCATAAGTTGGAAATGACTTGAAGGCACACAACAACAGAAACAATTCCAATGAATGATCCTAGATTGACATTTAGAACTGCCTAAAAAGGTCCAAAGATGCTGATTCAACCAAGTATCACCTGTGTCACTGCTGAGAGTTATCAGAAGGAACTCGGCCCACAACTGGTATGGGGCCTATAGAGCGGGGTCAAAGCCTCATCTGGTGTTTGGATGAAGGATTAGATATTATTGTTCACGGGATGCTGATAAGGCTATAAATAGGTCATCCAGACTCAGGAGTCTGAGAAGGGGTGGGTCAGCTAAGTCTCTTTTATCCCTTTACAAGGACAGCATAAAAGACTGTCTAAGAAAGCCCTATGAAGTACATGGGGTTACTATAAGTAAACAGGCAATTTGATGGTACATATATATACACACACAGTTCTCCACCCTCCCATAATTCAAGTACAGCAAAATAGATATGTACTCAGGTCTAGCAAACTCAGGATTGTGGCTTTCTCTGTTGAGTCCATCCACCTGTAATGTGGTTTTCCTCTTTTCCTACTGCCTCCCACCTTGCCAAGCATTCTCATCTTTTCCAAAGAGTCATGTCATCTCATGAGAGGTCCAAAGATGCATGGAGTCACACATCTGAGAAAGCAGGCCAATACTACAAAAGCTTATGCTACAATATATTTTGCACATTGAATCTCAAAGGTGCTATAATATCCCTTTGCATAGAGTAAAAAATTGGTGCACTGAGGCAACGGAGGAAGGAAGAGCGATCACTCGCAACTTGAAAGAGTCATGGCTTTCCCTTATTATTTTCTCCAACTGTATCCTTCAAATCATGTAAGGACTTCATCACACAGGGAAAATTGGGGGTTTAAAGAGCCATTATCCCATGAAAAACCTGTGGTGGGGTGAGAGATTTTTCACACAACGTCCTGATTAAAGAGCCATTATCCCAGGAATAACCAGGTAATAAACAGCAACAAATCATTCA